TGCCATCTATTCTAGCCTAACCGAGTTCCTACACTATTGAAATAGTTTCTACCATGATGTTTTGGGTCGTCAAGCAACATTGATCACATTTCGTCAAACAAACAAAAAAAACAAAAAAAAACAATATTAACTTTTTTCCCATTTCTGTTGTTATAAATGTGGCATAACAAGTTAACCATTAATTTGCGCTGGTTTGTTAACCTTTTATCCAAATGTGTTTCTATTTTGGATGAATGAACTAACGCCATATTCGCTTTTATTTCAACTACTTACTTGTTGATATTCGGTGCTTGTTGTCTCATTTTTTACAGGGTTAGGTCGTAATATGTCAGTACTGTTCTTGAAGGAGCATCTGTGATGGCTGAATATCATGTAATAAGGAAGACAGGTTTTTATTAAAGTTGTTTTGTAGAAAAAAACAGCAAAAAAAAATCATAGCTTTCGGGTAGTTTAAAAACATTAAGCAGGATCTAGTGTTTGATTTCATAAGTAATCATAATAATCTGAATATTAACTAACATATCTCAAGTCAAGAAGTTACTAAAAATACAAATAGGGTAAATAGATTTAATTAATTTGATAAATAATAAAATGACCCATATTCAGTTTTAAGTTAAACTTTAAAGTCGATTAAGCGAATCAGTTAGTAGGCACAAACATCTGTCTTTTAGAATTGTTATAAACTAACTTACTACTCTGTTTAAAAAGCTTGGTATTTTTTTTTACATTAGCACTCCATTCATAGACCCCAATTGTTTAAACCTTACTTAGAACAAAACTCTTACCCACATACGCAAATTTGGCAAACACACTTGGTCATTCTGGATTCTAACAAAAATATCAAAATGAATTTATTGAATATAAGCTATCATTACAAACAGATTATTTAAATTTACAATAATACTGACAACCTGCTGGACTACTAACCAAGTTACTAAGTGACTTTGTTTACAACACTAATGAACTTGTGTAGTGTTGATACATGCATTGTTGTGGAAAACGTGAGCAAAATTTGTTTTTCTCTGATCTTGATGTCAACAGAACGCAAATGAGAAAAAAAAAGGCGTTGTTGCGTATCTGATCGTTTGTTAATTTCCGGTATAAATTCTTTCAGAGTGACCTCAGCAATACAAGCCCCTTCTTGATTAAACTAGTTTATTCTTTCTTGTTACAAACTTTGTAATACGCTTAATTTACAGAGTCACTTTAAACTTAACAACCTTCATAACATACGCTATAAATCACAGTGATTCACAAACTTTACTTACGGTGCCTACTGTTCGCTTGACTCAATTATCAATATATTCAATCTGTCTGCATATCTACCTATCGCTGGCTAAGATACCAAAAAAAGATGGCGTCTAGCAAACACTGGGACATTCGCGAGGTTCCCCGATAAGTCATGATCCTTCTAAAAACTCCAGCGCGCATGCTCCCAGTATTGCATGACTTCCGCTGTCGTAACACTGCCTCTTCCTTAGTATTGTTCGTCCCGAACAATAGCCACTTACATTAAACCAATAGATAATTAACAATAACTTAATTAAATGTACAGAATTTACAAACAGAAAATTAAAATACAACAAAGTCTACTAATTTTACAGGACGTATTTTCTTCCGTACTGGTCTCCGTCTCGTTGGCTTCTGCTTCATGTGGGGTTCTTCTGCTCCATCAGGAAATGTACCATTATCGGTAGCAGTCAAATCAGTGGTAGTAACTTCATCAAAAGCTTCATCGCTTCCCTTCTCAAAACTGAGTAGAGTTTCTTTTTCGATGTTGGCTTTTTCAGGTGACACCTCTTCAGCAGCGTCATTTGTTCCTTTCTTCACTTCGTCCCAACTGAAATGTCCTGGACCATGACAATGCCAAAGCCTATGGGCGTGCGTCACCTTTGGATTACCTCACCGACCACATTTTATTTGGAAAGTCACGTCTGAGAGACGATCCACTATGTCATATGGGCCTTCCCATGGAGAAGACAACTTAGGATACTTCCCTTTGGTCTTCCAGGGATTATACAACACACCTTGTCTCCTGGTACAAAACTGACTTCTATGGGCCATCAACAGTGGGGGAAGTAAGACATCTCAGTCAACCTGTTGGCTATTACAAAACTTTGCCAATTCCTGTCCCAGTGTCCAATTGTACTTTTCTACCATCCCATCAGACTATGAGTGAAGTGGCGTAGTTCTGGTCTATCGTATGCCAAACAACTTGCAGCATTCATGAAACACAGCTGATTCAAAATTACGGCCTTGATCCGAATGCAGTTCGTATGGCATACCAAACCTGAAGAAGAAATCACTGATAGCCAAAGTTACAGTTGTAGCTTCCTGTTACGACAGCAGAAGTCACGTGACGCTGGAAGCATGGGCGCTGGAGTTTCTAGAACGATCATGACTGTTCCTGACAACTCTAGTATTTTCTAGGCACTCTCTATTTTAGTATATAAGCCCGGTAAATAAAGCAGTACCTGATGATAACAAAACTTTGTCTGAACGTTGTACAGTTGCTGTTATGTTAAACTTATATTAAAGTTTTTCTTCATTACCCATTCAAGCTGTCTCCAGCCATTATTAGTCTCAAAGTGGGTTCCTCGTCACCGAATTTGAATTCATCACGGCGATTAATCGAGGTTGTGTAGGTCTAAACATTTATCTTTGTTCTTCCATGTATAACTTTTTAAGTGTTGTTACGACAACTGGGGTCACGTGACGCTAGTAACACGTCATATTCTTGAACGTTCACGTCCCTTCCTGAAGTCGCGAGAGGCTACTAGATATGCGGTATTCTTGTATATATAAGC